GCCAAACATATCTTGCAGGTTAATTCACTTTTGAATTTTTTACGGGCTTTAAGACTAACTTATCCTTATTCAATTGCACAATTTTCAAACCATATTAAAATGTTAGTTAACAGGTTCATTGTGCATTATTTGGAATCATGGTATCATTTTAGGATAGATTTATGTTCTGTCATACTATATGTAGCCAATTGGTATGATTCTTTTTAAGTCGAAAGTAATGGTGTGTAGCTAGAAGAAAATACATACGTTATGTTCTAAATATTTGATTCCCTTTTTAGAATCAAGTACATGTCATTTGGAGAGCATACCTTGTTTATATATTTTATTTGTATAGAACTAGATCTTTGGATATCTGACTACACTTGATACAGACTTGATCCTGGTGCGACTTTTTGCCCAGGATAATAAACCTATGTTGTTCTTGTGCGGTTGCAGGGGAATCATGTACCGGTATAATAAACTATCCCAAATGATATTTCACTGACAAGCGCCATATAAATTGAAGTCAAATTAGGCATCTACTATGTTGCAGAGGTTAATCTTATCTCAGTGTTCCCTGGATATTTCTTTTCTTGTGGCCTCTATTGCAGTGTGCACCGCTGCAAGAATGAAATTAATTTATTCTAAATAAATGCTATAATAAGTATTTCAGAACATTTTTTCTGCTGTTAGGTTTAATATTCTATTCCATTTCCAATGGATAAAAATGTTTGAGGCTACTTCCATATTTATCCCTTGTTTCTTACGATCTAATGTGCTAGACAATTTTTCTTTTAGATTTACCTCTCCTGTTTGTGCAGTAGGTACAAGGTCTCACCTTGTTGAAGGCTACTTCCGATTCTTCTATTTTAATTTTGATTTTGTTAATGTACATTTTCTACCTAATAAGGACTTGAGGTGACTTGTGGATTGTAGCGCATGGGGAGCCTCACGATTGTTGTGGTTACTTTTTACACAAACTCATTGTAGCACAAGTTGTATGTATAGCTTGTGATACATGGTGATGCATCTTTTCAAGGTTAATTGTGCGTCCCATTTATTGATGCTTTGACGGGTGTCTAATTTAGTGGTTTACATTGAAGGTGCATAACATTAAATAAGATATGATTAGGCTTAAGATATAAGAAGAATAATGATTATATATTGAACTTAAATACACAAGGTTTGTCGCTTTTATAAAGAATGGAGTTATGAGACTAGGTGAAATATGCCCCGCGGGACAAAATTGACTACGCATTTTGTGTATTCAGGGTTTAGAAGTCCATTGTGTGTGCATGTTTGATACGAGATATGTTGCTCATATGAGAAGAACTATATCTCCAAAGCTATATTTAGTTTAAATTAAGATTTGAGCTACATTATTGCACTCATTCATTTTATTGGCATAATTATGGCCTAACTAGGGTGACTGAGAATTTTTTTTCTATGATTATACGTGCGTTGCACGTGCATACTTACTAGTCTCTACTACTAAAGGAAATCTGGTTTGTACCTTTTACTTTGCCTCCGGCCCGCGACCTTATCTCACGTTTCTGCATTAAATTTTTTTTCCAGGAAGTTTCCGCATTAACTTGATAGAATCATACCTCACCAAACCTCAACTAAATCAAAAACTTTGCTTATCTTCCTCCGTTCATATCCAAATAAAATCAAAATTACCAAGACTTCACCTAAATCCAAACTTATTTTCCTTTCCCTACCCACGTTCAAATCAAATCAAATCTTTCAAAACTTCGCCCATATCAAAACCTTCTCCCTTTTCCCCATCCATAGTCAAATCAAATCTTACCGAAATCCAGAATAATTTTATGTCAGGCATGAACGATATTGAACCACTAGAATATGTATGTATGCATATATTATTGAACCACTAGAATATGTATGTATGCATATATTGCAACACACGTATTTAATAAAATGTCAAGGAATACAACGAAGTACACTAAGGGCATTTTCCAAAGCCCGTCGAGCAGTCATCGCCACGTTTGAAACGTCAACGACTTTGTTACAATTGCATACATTGGCAATGTTGTTGCATAACCATGTCTAAAATGTTCTCAAGTTTTATTTATTAAAAAAACATAGAACTTTAACAAAAGTTTTTGCAATGATGTTTGCATGCACATGAAATAAATGTTGCATGCAAGATTTTTTATGTTGCAATGGTGGAACAATTCACATTTTAGATCTGACAGCAGAGAGAGGTGGAAAGCATCACCCAATCAATTCCTTGCCCTTGTTCACTACTAGGGAAAAGGCTAGCAGCAGCGCGAGTTTTAGATGTATCAGTAGCGCGGGGATAGGCGCTAC